TGTGAGTTTCGTTCCAAACACCCTATATGAGACTAAAGTTCATGACTTGTACCCCTAAGCGAGACGACGAGCAGTCTCCGTCCTTTTCATGTGAGACCTCCTCCCCCCGGGGGAGGGGAAAGAGCAAGCAGTCATTCTAATTAAAATTTAAATACGAATGTATCTGCTACACGCAAGAGACGACGGTACAAAACATAGAGACGACGGTACAAATTTCGTTTTCAATTTGGGTCTCTTGATATTCACCTTAGATCCACTCTGATAATTGAGATGAAAGAAAAAAAAGAGTACATTTAATTTTCTTTACCCAGCTGTCTTGCACGTCAGAACTGTTCCGTTTACAGCAACTTAGGGACACAGTTTTGATCAACTTATTTGACCTGTGTGTCATCCGAACGTTGAATTTGAAAATGTTGTTTTGTTTTATGCTGTCATCAAACGTCAGTTGCTGTAATTGCGATTGACAGAAACAACAATTATGGTATTTCAACAATAGATTCGGGAATTGAAAAACAATTTCTGAAGCAATTTGTCGTTTAGAAGCGTACTTAGTGACAAATTTTAGATACAGTCCGAAAAGTCAGTACAGAAATTATTCGCTCCTAGCCAAAGACAAGGGCTTTAAAACACCAATTCTTAATTATTTTCATACAGAGTTTGTTAATTATTCATAATGATGGAGATTTTCGTTGGCTCTTAAATTAGCGATTAAAATTGCCGTCTGACAAAATCGTGATTCGGGAGCGGGAAGAAAGTAAGAAAAAGACCAGTTCATTTTGCAACGGAAAAGTGGCACGCGTCAGATTTTTTTCGGCGAAAAGTTCTTTGTACCAGTGCTAAAACATTTTTGCGCCGGTTCTTTATATTTTATGCCTTTTGAATGCAGCTTTTGTGCAAAAGGTTTCGTTTTCTCACCTCTAATTTTTATATCAATGAGAACTTTGCCTAAGCCATTAATTTGATGAGGTCTTTTTCAGCGCTACAGCGAATCATTGCGTCTTGCCATTGTGTTTATTTTATTTACTGATACGGAGTTTGCGTCGAAGCTTCGTCACCGAAATGCCCTAATGTTCTTCATTGACAGCCACCTTCCGATTGCTGAGATTAATGAATAATTAAAATATATCCGCTGGATCGATTTACTTTTCTCTTCAAAGGCAGCTGACTTGGTCGTCCCCTCGAGCCAGTCTCATTTTGCGTTATAACGACAATTCTGGCGACAACAGTTGCCGGTTTAATGTGCAGAATTTGAAAAAAAAACCAGTCGCTTCTGCTAGAAAAACCTGTCTAAGTTTCGCCGCCATGGACAAGAAAAGACGGACTAGGTCATTTTGCCAATCGTTTATCTCAAAGGTAACCTTTTGACTGGTGATTGTTCTAACGTTGTCAAAGACCTTTTCACCAGCCATTTTCGATTCCTATTTTGTCATTTTCTCCATAGATTAATGGCGTCTTGCTCCTTTTGCTGTTGCAATCAGGTACGCCTATTATTCAGTAGAACTGCGTCTTTTTCATAGCAAACAAAAGCACTTTCATGAAAGCAAGCATCGACTTAATTATACTCCGGTTCGATACCGGGAACGTTTCGTGCGAGAAAGCAGGTTTTCAGCCATTAAAGTGCGTGCTTTTTTTCTACTCGCATCAAACGTTATTTTAGCTTCGAAATTTACCTTACTTCGCTTTTCTGGTATCCTGTATGTTAAACAGGCTAAATATTTAGAATTATTGACCAGCGGGTGGTTTACTTTTACACAGCTACTAGTATTCTGATTCATATTTTTCACTGAAAACTGTATGAGGCCAAAGATGTTTGCGTTCTGCCTGCGCGTATCTTGACCTCTTTGTACTTTTACAGCTTTCATGCGAACAGCAGATTGTGTTATAATTTTATGCCAAACACGATTACTTCCCTAGAAACACCTACGAGCTCGGGCGGTAGACATGTTATCATATGGGCCTGTCATCAAATTTATCTCTCATTGATATGCATGGGGCATAACTGACCATTCCACCCGTATTAAGTATTTCACATAAACGTATTTCATGAAGATGCCAGATTTCTTGTTCTCATTGCAAACCTGAAAGAATACTTTTTTGTTCATATGCAGGTTTTGAATCACTGCGTTGACAATACCTTTGAAGGCAATTCTGTCATTCAGTTTTCGACAGGTGAATTTTCGCTGCCGCACTGAGAATTATTGGAATCGTTTAAACGGCGTTTCCAGAGAATATTTTGATGTTAAACACTGCATTTTCTCTCCTGTTTTAACTCAGAAGATTGTCACGCGAACAATTTCGTAGGAAAAGAATAATTTAGCTCAGAATTCGACAAACCAGTAGAAGTGAATTTTAAGCAGCTTGGTGTTTGAAAAGTTAAGTGTCCAAAAACTCTTTCGAGAAAATTGCCTTGAGTCGCCTTGTTCTATTTGAATATGTGTCTGATTGCTGCTGGAAAGTAAAACAGGCTCCTCTCGGCCTCAAACGTTAATGAACCCATACAGATATGCTTTCAGGGCATAAAAGCGACTTTAAATTTGGCCAGCAGGTTTCCCGCGTAGAAATCGATTCTTCGCATCACATGATGATAGTTACCTGACCGCGGTTTTTTTTTTTTTTGCCAGCTTGTGCAACGAAAACAGAATGAAACTACTTTTTTCTCTAGCTTTCGCTTTTGCTTTCGCTTTCCAGTTTTAGGATTTTCATTACGACTGATATAAAGCTTCTGTAACTAAGACAGGCGGGCGCAGGGATATTATTTGAATTTGGATAGCGAGCAGAAAACTGAATTTTATATTGTTTACTTTCAAATGCAAATCAGCAGGATTGACCAAAAAAACCCCTCGCTTTCAACGCAACTAATTACGATTTTTTCATTTTCTTTTCAGTAGTTTTTTCTTAGCATGTATCTAAATAATTTCCTCTTTTTCCTCGTAGTTGCTCATTAACAATGCATTTTGACAAAGGCATCCCTTTAGGGCGGCCTGGGTGAACGAAGCTAAAACGAAAATTAATCGCTGTTTATGCCGGCTAGCGCAGTGTAGGCAAATATTGCTTTGAAACATTTTAAATACACAACTTTCTACAAAGATTAGCTAGGGATCGAGTAGGAAAAGATTACGTTTCTCTCCGAATTCAAGAGAATTTCCATTTGTAATTTCAGCTGCCATTTCTATGAGCAATCTGGTGGCTTCTCTTGGCGAGTGAGCCACAATGTATACAAATAAACGCCATTTTCTTTTTCCCTTCGCTAAATTTTCGGTTCAAGAACTGAGGTTAAACCGCTTATTAGGAAGACTATGTGATGACAAATCCGACCGGCTGAAAAGGAAACGTTCTCTGGAACCTTCTTGTAGGCAATGAGTTTTTTGAACTCAATCGTAAGAAATCATGAGACGTTAAAACAGCCTTACAATCTCGAAAATTGCTTTCTTATTTGTAATAAACCACTGCTCAAACGACATCGGCTGGACATTTTAATGCAATCATATCGGTGTGTCTCTGCTAGAACTGAACTTACTGAATGCACAGCCGGCTTTCCTGAGCAAATTTGTGTAGATGTTATTAGTAATTATTTCCCCATCTTTTGTGTACACTGCGTTTGTGCGTATATTTGAACAGAATCTTGTCTCATAGCTGGGAAATAGGGCTATGATCTAATTACCACCACCACAAAGAAATCTTTCTCAAAAACAAACTGGATGACTTAATTTTATCAAAGTTAGTTTAAAAATCTTCAGTTTTGTTGGCAAGCATGACAATAATTATTTCTTGTTTAACAGTGTTCCCATCTTGACTGTCGACTCTACACTTTACAACTTCTAAGTTGTCTGTACAAAAACCAGTGATCTAAGGCTGCATCTCATTGGCTGAGTGTGCTATTGCGGGCCATAGTTTTGTTTGCTTCGTGTTATGAGATGGTCACGTTTGAGCAAATAAAACCAAAATGAAAAGTGATAATAGATTTAGAACTTCTAGAAAATTCGTTCTGAAAGGAGAGGAAAAGCATGGATTATCAAGAAACATGATTTTTAAGGCTTAAAATAGCTATTAGATAATTTCTACAATGACCTCTATTTGAAGAAAAGAAATTAAAAAATAAATAAACGTCAACATAATCCACACACACACACACGTACTTTGATCTTTCTTTTCTCTCTAATTCGTAGTAAAACTTTGGATAGACTGAGATCTTTATTTACTTTTAAAGCTGGCTTTTTTATGACACTAGGCACGTCTATGAAACCCGTTACCTTGACAACCATGAAAAGCTAATGTCATGAAGTGTGGCAATTGGTATTAAACAGTGTATAACATCTTAAAATTAGGATGATAGCGTTTTGGCAAAGATCGCAAAGAATTGTAAAAGAGCCTAATAATTAGGCCAACGTCATGAGGAACTTAAAGAAAGTCTCAATAAAATTTGTTTAAAAAAAAGATTGTATTTAAATCAAGAAACTTTAATTTGGAATATCGAGTGCATTTCTTTCGCTATTTGGCCATCCAATTGTCAGGCAAAATTTCAAGATCGCACGTGATTGCGCTTTCTGAAAGAATTGAAATGATCGGAGAGCACAAGGCTCTGGTTATGTCATATAAATACTCAGGGTTTATGTATATGGCGGGCCACATTACGGTCGAAACAGCCGTCCACGGCTGCAATTCTTGGTTTTCAGTTTGAGCTCTATCACGTGATGTCGTTGTCGCGATACGTTTTATACGTAGTAATCAGCCTTGCTTCGTTGTTATTCTGTTATGGAAGTCTGGTGAGTCAGTTAAATGTTCCGCGATATTTCATATCTATCAGTTAAAATGACAGCCCGGCTATTCCTTGGCTATCAGTAAATTTTTGCAGATTTCACCAAGCTATCAGATGAAAAAACGCGCCATGTTTAAGCTGTCGGTTAAAATTTTAGCCAACTCTCAGCTATCAGATGAGCCTCATCTAGATTCCTGGTAGCATCGTACGACATTGAAAACTCTTTATATGGACAGTCACTCCCTTTTATCGAGCCATTCTCCACAAGATAATTTTTCATATATTTCGCGTTTGTTTGTATGAGAAATCACAAAGTTAGCTCTGACGCTAGAGTAACCCTGGATGGAGACTCACTCGCTTTAAAGATAGTCATGGGGTCATAGTCATAGTCATCGTATAATATTGACGCCTCTGTATGGAAAGTCAGTCCCTTTTTATCCTATTCGCATATAAAGCAATGCAAGCATGCGCAGGAGGGCTCCTGGCATGCGTGAAACTCAAAGGGTAAATATTTTTTTGGTCAGCAGGAACAGTTTTCGTCCGATTCTGTTAATAATCCGATCAAAGCTTTCTCTTCTCTCGTAGCAACAGAATTGACACAATTTTTTTTTTTTTTTGTACAAAGTATAGTCAATTTAACCTTATTTTATTTAATTTTCCTGGATGAAGGGTGAGCGAGTCCTGGTTCTCACATGACGTCACCAAAATTCGAACTACAAAACTATTGATCTTCCTGAGATTTAACTTAAATGATGTATAAGAGCAGCTGAAAACTAATATTCATATAAATTTTCGCTCCGAATGGGTTCTTGGTTTTATGACACACTACGCTTAAATTTCTAAGCTTTTTCGTGACGCGGCATTTACATGACGGCCTAGAGAGCTGTAATGATGGTAAAAAAGTGACTTATTTCGGGGAACTTGGCTATCTGAACAGTTCATGTCTTAAAAAAGTATTATTTTAATGTTTTAGNGCGAGAGTCTTTGCATATTTACTTTCTTTCAGTTCTCAGATTCTGGACTTTATCTATTGACCGGTTTTAATTTTTATTTTGATCTATTTTGAATTGCGTGACACTGAAAACCAGCAATAGACATTATTCCCAAGATGCTTTCTCTCAAGTAGATCACTCCCGGTTTCGAAAATCCCAGGCTAGTCTGGAAATAGCCAATCCTGTGACGCAAAGTTTGCTCACGTGATTAGGCCTAGCGGCGTTGCATGTTTTTTCATCTTTCACGAGAACATCCACGTAATGCGCGTATTAAAAATATCCGGAGAAGAACTGATTGCAATGTCCAAAATGACTTGACAGGGATTGCGTTGGGTATAAGGTCTATATTCAGTCCAAATTAAAACTGCTATAGGCCAAACATCGACTTCATATGGACAATCTGTATTCCAATTTTCTCGGCATCAAAACTTAGAGAATCAGTTCCTCTTAGCTTAAGAACTTGCGATTTAATTCCTTTAAGAAACAGTAAAAGTAGCACCTCTTAAAAACTTAAAAAAATAGTTAATAATAGTCACTTAGAGCTATGTAATGAGTACATATTTTTCTGTGAGGAATTTTCAGTAATGTATTCTTCTGTAATGTAGTTTTGTTACCGTACCGCATTTAGTTGAACATGGTTGTAACCAGCTCGAAAGCCAATGGCTGCTTTGGTTGCCACCCACATATCTTTTTAATTTTTTCCTAACCATTTGTAACAAATATATATATT